GTTGCGTGAAATCGCCCAAATTAGCGAAACCTGCACGAATCGCGGACTCTGACACCAGTGTAAAGCGGTTGAGACCAGCAGGATCAGAGTTTACTACTTCCTTTCTATATCCTTTTCACATTCCAGATCTTCACCGTTCTGGGCGCCGCCTATGGAACAGCAAAGTCAGCTGTCGGAATATGTTCAATGGGAGTGATGCGGCCCGAACTGATAATGAAATCTGTAATTCCAGTCATCATGGCTGGTATTATCGCTATTTATGGACTTGTTGTGGCAATTGTTCTGAAAGGCAAAGTTAATTCGGCCAGCAACGGTTACACCCTCGGGCATGCATTTGCGCATTTTGCTGCGGGTCTCACTTGTGGCTTATGTGGTCTGGGAGCCGGATACGCTATTGGAATCGTTGGAGATGCTGGAGTGCGAGGTACAGCTCAACAGCCTCGTCTATTCGTGGGAATGGTTCTCATCTTGATTTTTTCTGAGGTACGTTTTTCCCTCAAATTTTAGGAGTGGGACATCATATGCCGTGAACTTATTCAGGTGCTCGGTCTATACGGGATGATCGTCGCTCTCATAATCGGAGCTGCTTGAATGCAGAAATGAATGCAGGGATGGAGCTTTCTCCTTGTGTCCTCCAGTTGTAGATAGCCAATCTTTTCATCAAATCATCGTGTAGCCTTCATTTTTTGCTCATATTGTGCTGTCTGGTAATTCATCTACTCTCGTATGCGAAAAATTGTTAACATTTTAAGCGACATCTGTAAGCGGCTACTGTCTTTCAATTCGAATAAATCAGGTTTCAAGAGTCGCGGCATTAAAGTGGCTTTAAATAATTAAAGGTACGGGTCGAGATCGAATTGGTGTTTTATTTGTTCGAAAATTAGACAAGAAGTGCAATGAGGAACATTAGTGAGGAGAAAAAGCAAAAAGCACCATAGAAAACACTGAAATTTCCCTCTGTGAGGTCCGGCCGTGGTATGACGGAGAGACACAGCGCTGCGAGGAGAGGGAAAACGCGAGAGAGTACGTCGTACGCGAGAGGGCGCAGA